CTTTTGACAGAAAGTGGAAGAATATGGAAGATTTACTGCTGAGTGAAGCAAGTCAGGCTATGAAGGACAGTCACTGTATGTCCCCACTTAATATATACCGAGTGTCCGCACTCTATAACTGAAATGGACGGGCTAAAGGATGTACAAACACAAGAGATGGGTGTGAATGCCAGATGTGGTGTGTGTGGAGGAGTGGGGCCTGGGGAAGAACATTTGGAGGAGGGATACGAAGACAGCATTGTTGAGACAGGGAGGTAGTGTTGTTATATTTTGATCACCTCGACCAGGGAGAAATATTTATATATTGAAACGATCACCTTGTAAGCTAAATAATGTGATTGAATGTATTTTAAAAAGTAAATAAAAATTAAAATTAAAACAAAACAAAACAAAGTCCCTCTATAAAAAAAAAAGATCAACAAGATTGATAAACTGTTAGCAGACCCACGAAGGCAAAATTCAGGAATGAAAGTGAGGACATCACTACCAATCTTAGGATTATAAAGGAGTATCTTGAAAAATTATAATACAATAAAGTAAATAACCTAAATGAAATGGATAAATTCCTATTAATATGCTAACTATCAAACTTGCCTCAAGAAGAAATAGAAAATCTGATTAAACCTGTAACAGACTGAATTAATCAGTCAAAAAATGTCCCACAAAGAAAATTCTAGGACCAGAAGATTTCATTGGTGAATTTTACCAAACCTTTTTATAATTATGATTTCTGGCTTACATATGTTTGATATACAACTTTGTCAGGTATGGTATGGTTTTCCAACCATACAGTGTTAACTAATTAAAGATATACACATATCTATCTTCTTCAACATTGAAATTACATTATGTTATCCACATTTGATAATAATTCTACTCGTTTTTTAGGTATGTATTGAATTGTCCATATTGTTTACTCTGCTGTTCCACAAACTCTTCCCTTTTATACATGAATTGTTATATCCATTAAAAAATTTTTTCTCCTGAACTCTGACCCTCCCCAACCCCCATGTAGTTTCTGGTATCTATCATTACTCTCTCTATTCCTATACTTTTGAGCCCTTCTATTTCTGTCATACACTGTATACATTCAGCTTATGTTAAACTGGGACATACAGCGTTTATCTTTTCAGCTCTTATCACTTAGCATCATATTTTCCAGGTTCATCTACTTTGTGTCAAATGAGAGGATTTTGCACTTCTTCATGGCTAAGAAGTATTTCATTGTATATATGTACCACATTTTCCCAATTCATTCATCAGTTGTTGGGCACTTAGGCAGATTTCATGACTTAGCTATTGTGAATAATGTGGCAATAAATGTGGATGTGCAAATGTCTGACTAATTTCCTGTCATTAGGGTATATAATCAATACTGGGGTTGCTGGGTCATATGGTAGTTCTATTTTTAGACTTATTTTTTTTTGGAGAGGTTTTCACTATAGGGTGCGTGCGCTCGCCAGACAGACAGAGACAGACAGAGAGACAGAAAGCGAGAAATCACCCCCCAGGGGGGATGGTCACGCCGCAATCCCTTCTCCTCCATTCTCCTCTTGGGATCTTGGGCACGCACGCACACGCGCCCGGCATGAGTTTTAAGCCACCGGGTCTGGGACGCGAACCGCGGTCGACTACGTGGGAGTCCAGCGACATAGCCATTACGCTAACTGCTGGTTCCCTATTTTTAGATTTTTTGAGAAACCTCCATATTGTTTTCTTTAGTAGCTGCAGTGATTTACATCCCCACCAGCACTGTGTGAGGGTTCCCTTTTCTCTGCAACCTTACTAGCAGTTGTTTCATTTATTTATTTATTTATTTATTTATTTATTTATTTATTCATTCATTC